CCGGCTTCGGCCCGCCTGGGTATTGCCTGTCTTCTGCTGCTGCTGACTCTGCCGGCCCGCGTAGACACGTCCTGGTGGTGAGTGTGGTCCTGAGGGCTGGGTGGGCGAGCTGTGGGGTTGTGGAGGCTGGTGGCGCCCATAGGGAATAATACAGCTCCTGACCAGGGCTGCTCAGGGACCAGGTTGCTGCTTGGACAGAGCTAGAGACGATCCCCGTACGACTGTCGCTGAAGTGGCTGAGTGACTTGTGAGGCTACAGAGGGAGATGAAGCGTCGCATCTCGCCCGCCTGCTGAGGTCGTGTGGCGCAAGGGGGCCCTGTGGTTGAGGGTCCCCTGACCCAGATGCTGTGCCCCTCTACTTCGGCTTAGGCCCCTTGGGACGGAAGCTGAGCTTGTTTTTTTCTCAGCCGCCTTTCCCGGCTTACGGTGGCAGTTCTGCAGGGCCCTTGATCGCCTAAGGTCTCCCTCGAGAAGGTGGAGAATGGGCAGCTGGCAAGGACAGACAAGCCTCTGAGAGGCTCCCCACACGGGGCGGGGGGCTCTGGTGAAGCAGCAGCACCCAGCGCGAGGTTTAGACATGAACTGCAGGCAAAAACTACTCTAGTATTCCCACAATTAAAACAATACCTTGGGTTTGCGTAACCTGGGCATTTGTCTTCAGCCTCGGTTTTGAGGATGTCACTTGGAAGCTTGACGTCTCCCGCCCCTCCTGTTTCTCTTCCCCAGATGATCCTCCTCCCATCTCTCCCCTCTAAGGGTCAGAGACTTTCTGGTGTCCCACAGTGCTAAGCGACCCTGTCCTCAGATCCCTCTCAGGCCTTAGACTCCAGACACTTCACAAGAGGGCAGACAGGCAAGAGGCATTAAAAATCCACAGGATATCTGTAGTCTGTTATTCACAGAATTCCCCCACCCCCACGGGCTCCCCAGCCCTGGGTGGTACTCACCCTCTCTCTCCTCCCCCACGGGGGAGGGGCAGGGCAATGGGGAAAAGTGGGCCCGAGAAAAGATCCGGTCTTCTCAGCTTTCCTCTTCACATCCTCAAACTGTCCTCTTGGACTACTGGGCTAGTGCCCCTCTCTACCATGTAGTGCCTCCCTCCTTTCCTTACTCTGCTCCTCCTCCCTTGCAACCAACACACCCCCACCCCCGCAAAGTGCGGTCTCTTCTCCTCTTGCACCCTGTGGCTTTTCTCCTCTTGACTTGGAATCCTGGCTGAAAGGGTGAGGGGTAGCTGGCTGAGGGGCCAGTCAGCTTGGACTGCAGATTCCTATCATTTCAAGATGCGTCCCTCTCTATTCCCATCCCCCACCCCCGTTTTCCTGTTGGAAGAAAAATCTCTCTTTTGGATCTTTTTTATCTCTGCAGTGTTGGGGAAGACGAGGAGGGGGGTTCTGGATGGGGGAGCGGGCTGGCCTATATCTTACATCTGGCCTGAAACATTCCTTTAGAAAGGGAAAGGGAAGAAGGGAGGCAGAAAAATAAAAAAAGCTTTTCCACTGTTCATAGTGAGATCAAATCCACCCCTTACTTTCAGGGCCCAGTTTGGCTGGGGACTTAAATTTTTAGGGTTCCAGTCGACAAAACATTATCTCTATGGCCCAGATGGCAATTTGCTTTTAGGGACTATTGACTGGCTCTTACCAATTTGGGAGGCAGTCTTTGGGACCAAATGGTGTTTAGATGTGGGTATGTGACTCTGACAATTTCAGCAACCTAAAGACCCAAATGGGGTTCTTCCTAGTTCCTATTATTTTAACCTTTGACTACTCTCTCTCCCTTGTCCTTTCTCCCTCTACTACCTTCCTCCCATGTGGTTCAAATTAAAAACTTTGGAAAAACTCCTAGAAGGAAGAGCTCTGAAGGGAGGTAGGTGACACACAGAGAGACTTAGCAGTTCCTGGAAAGTGGAGGAAGGCAGCAACAGGCCCAGTATGAGGGGGTGGGTGTAGAGGTTGTCTTGGTCTCCTTGCTTTCATAGCAGCAGGACCAGATGCCTGCCTCCATGGTCACTACTTCTAGGATAATATGGAAAGCTGACTTGTGAAGGCAGATCAGGTGCCCAAGGTGATTATCTCTCTTTCTCTTAAGAAAAAACCAGCAAGACTGTACAACTCCTGGAAGAGAAGCCTGTTGACCCATTGTGTGTCTGTTCCACTGTGGAGCAGAGGCTATCACTGCTATCAGCTAAGTCTGTTTTTCCCCGCAGCCCAACATCCTTCCTCTTTCTCTCCAGCCACTTTCTCCCTCTCTCAACGCTTACCTAGTGGAGGAAATGTACGGTTTCTCCTTAGGTCCTGTGACAGACAATAAGAACTAAGGGAGTTCTGTCATGTGCTTCCCTGTTTCATTTTGCAGGGGGTTAGATATAGGGAAATCACAAGGCAGGACTGGGTGTTCATGGGCTCACAAAGAAGGAGAAACACAGAGTGGTATCATAGTAGCATCACTGTTACCAAGAACAGCTGCATTTAATGAGCCCTTACTAAGTTCCAGGTCCTATGGCTGAGCACCTTGTGAGCACCATTTTCTTTAGTCCCCAGATAATCCAGTGAGGCTATTATTATCCTTCACAAATGAACAAAGTGAGGGATAGGAGAGGAGCAGTAAAATACTTGCCAAAGTTCATACCAGTTTTGGAGGTAGATTTGTCTACTCCTATGAAAGTATCCTGTGCTTCTCTTGTCCTTGGAATCAAAATGAACCTGGACTTTGGATTCAGATGGCCTTCATTCATCCTGGTTCCCCTCTGACTAGGCCTGATGGACAGCACAGATACTCTTACTTAATATCCTTGAATCGCTCAGTTTCTCCATCACTCCCTCCTTTCCTCTAACACAGAAAATGTTTTGTGAATTGTAAAGTACTATACAAGTGCTATGGAATAAAGGAGAGATTCCAGGTAGCTAACAGTTTTAGTCCTGTGTTCAAAGTCCTATATGTAATGGGCCGAACCACAAATACTGGGGGATATACCCAAAAGGAGGGGACATAAAAAGAGGCTCTCTGGCCTTATTAAAAGGATGCAAACACAAAATACCTACAAACAGACTGGTAATGTTGACAAGAAGTAAAACCCTGACTAAAATGAAGTTTATGGCTGGCAAGGGGAGACAGAAATTTAAACCAGAGCAGTTAGGTGTTTATTCAACAAATAGTTATTGAGTATTTGCTGCACACCAGATAAGTTCTCAGTATTGGGTATATTTAAGTGCACAAAAGAAACAAAGGGCTGGGATATGACTCGGTGGCAGAGTATTTGCTTAGCATGTTTGAGCCTCTGGGTTTGATCCCCAGCACCACATTCACCCAAGATAAAAACTGGACAAGAATCTGCCTTCTTCCAGATACGGTGGAGCACACCTGTAGTACCAGCTGATTGGGAGGGTGAGGCAAGAGGATCCAAAGTTCAAGGCCAGCCTGGACGACTTAGTGAGATCCTGTCTCAGAATAAAATTTAGAAAAAGGCTGAGGGTATAGCAGTGGAAGAGCACACGTCCAGCATGTGGGAGGCCCTGGGTTTGATCCCAGTATAGGAAAAACTAATCCCTGTCTTCATGGAGCAGTGCATCCAAAACAGGTTGGAACCTTTTTCAAATCCAGATTCTGACCTAGTGGCCTGTGTAGGGTGTAAGGATCTACATTTTAGCAAATCCCAAGGTGAGGCAGATACTATTGCTTTGAGTAGCAAGGGGGCTAGAGTGGGGTATAAGTTACTCTATCAAAAAAAGAAATATGAATTTGTTAAAAGCAGGTGAAAAGAGACCATTCCATGAGGAAGCTGGAAAGGAAATGAACTAACTTCTGGAAAGGAAAGCAAAGCAAAGCTGGAGAGTTAGGCATCTGGTATCTTCTCCCAGACCAGGAGCTGGGGGATTCTTTAAACATCTTTGTGCCCCTAAAAGCTGAGCTCAGCTTGGCATTTCGTAGGTATTTTGCAAGCATGGGTTGAACAGAGGAAAATGGGCTCAGGCTGAAGCTCAGCATTATTGGAGACCCCATTAGTGACTACAGGGAGCCAACTCCTGCACAGCGGGCAAGCACCATGTTCAGCAGAGTCTTGAAACAGTTACTTATTGGGGTAAGCATGGTAGTGGAAAAAATTATCTTCCCATCTGAGATACTGAACAGATGTTCCCACGCTCATTGAGGATGTAATAAGGAGGACCAATGTGGGCTGCAGCAGAAAGGATTTAAATCAGACCACAAGAAGGCCTTTTTTGCCAGTCTGGCCTGCCCAACTCCAGACTGTCTCATGAGGGCTGGGTTATTGGTCTCCCATTCCCATCCAGCCCCAGTAAAAAAAACAAACACCCATTGCCTAGGGCAGTACTCTGGGGCTGAACTGGGGAAGCAGAACTGTGGTGGTGAGTGGGGACTAGGTCCAACTCCAACCGTCTTGAATCTCCAAACAAAGCACCACGGCAGTGGGTGTAACTCCCGACTGTGCGTCAGGCAGTCCTTTCCGGCCTGGCTTAGCCTTGGTGTTTATTTTGTTTGTTCCTGGAAGCTGCTGCCCTGATGGACAGCGCTGGGGACACTGATTCTATGGGATTTGTTAGTGGAGGCCAGCACTCTCACCCCTCCCTCGGGACAGATGGGGCCCATCAGCCCTGCTGAGTTCCCGAAGAGGCAAGCATCAGCCCTCCTTGTGTTTGTTTGAGTTGGTGTCACCAGTGGTGATCCAGTCTGTGGGTGAGGGCTGGCTGTGGGAATGCGCAGGGGGAGGGGACACAGGGCCCAGGGCAGTTTAGCTTTTCCCTTCCCCCACTGGCTGCCCTCCTTTCTCCTCACCCACTTCTAGGCCCATTTTGGGGCTGTTCCCAAACCACTCGCTCATTCATGTCTCAGACCACAGCTTTTCTGTCTGTAGCAGCAACTGCTCTCCTTAGCCCCCACCTGTTGTGCAAAGGGGAGGGGGCGTTCCTTTGATGTGTTCTGGAGCTGTTCAGCTGAAGAGTGTAGGTGAATGGTTTGATATCTTTTGGTTGCTTCTTGGCGAGAAAAGGTGATTGCTCCTGTTTTTCTCTCCAGAACACTCTTCAGGGGCACATAGGCCTCAGAGTGTGTCAAAGATGAGAAAATACTGCTTTGAGAAAGTTGAGAATGACTCTAGCAACCCACTTGTACCTTAAAAGCCCCATGTCAGTTGTTCATACTGGGCAGACCAGAGACTACAGCACTTTAGCTTAGCCTTTTGTTTCCCATGGCAGACACTTCTCTGTCCGTGTAGGTCCATCCAGGACATTGTCCTTTATAGTTTGGGTGAACAGATTTTAAAAGCTTCATTAGTTAAGAAAAGCTCTGGGCCTGGAAATCAAGGGAATGGGGAGAAGAGCTGGGATGGGGTCTGCCTCACCAGACCTCAGGATTGGGAATAAACACATTTTAGCTGCACGAGTCTCACTAGAGTTGTAAATATTATTCACAGTTTTCTATTATGTCTTCTCCTGGTAGCCCCCTCCCTGTCTCCATCTTCCTGCTACTCAGTCAGTCTTTAAGGACCAGCCACTCAGGATGTGCTCTTACGTGTGGGTGTAAAAGTGTTGGCTCAAACCCTTGTTGTGATAGTTTATTTTTCTGTGAGGATCTTAATGTTTCTTAAACAAACAGGCAATGGGTTTATGCGATATGCCCACAGCTTCTGTGTATATGACACATGCCTGGCCTGTGTTTTGGGAGTGTGTGTGACTTTGGCCTTTGGCTGAGGAACTAGTAATGTTGGGAGACCACTCAATTACTCTTTCTGCAACTGTAACTATTTCTCCAGAGCTTGTGGGGAATGGTTTTACCGATCAGCCTCAGGGAATGTGGGATGGGGAAGGGGAAGAAATCTCTCTAGGCTCTAGATACAAAACAGTCCCCCCAACCCTACTCACCCCACCCCATGCAGAAAAAAAAAGGGCTGAGGAGCTCTGACGGGACTGTCTGCACCTTGCAGGTACATCGGGGCACTAGGGGCCCGAGTGATCTGTGACAATATTCCTGGTTTGGTGAGCCGGCAGCGGCAGCTGTGCCAGCGTTACCCAGATATCATGCGCTCAGTGGGTGAAGGCGCCCGAGAATGGATCCGAGAGTGTCAGCACCAGTTCCGCCATCACCGCTGGAACTGTACCACGCTGGACCGGGACCATACTGTCTTTGGCCGTGTTATGCTCAGAAGTAGGGAATCCTTCTGTTCTTCCCCTGCTCTTTCCCTTCCTGTGCCTTGGGTGTGAAGTGAGAAGGATAGGCAAGATCCCTTCCCTCTACTTTAAAATCAAAGAAATAATTGTGGGCAGAGCCTAGAATACAGTTGAGAACGGACCCTAAGTATCTCAAATTTGTAGGCAGGGGTTCCTCTAAATCCCAGTACTTTGGGGTGATGGGACAAAGCTATTACCCCTACTACTCCATCCTCCTCCCTCATTTTCTCTGCCTTTCCCCTTCCCTAACAAAGGAGCTTCCATGTACTGTAAAGCTGAAACTAGGAATAGCTTCTCTAATTCTTACCACCACCACCACTACCTTCACCAACACTCCCAACACTACAGTAATGAGAACAAGAGATAAACAGAAAGGTGATATGTAAATATTTGGAGAGTCAATGGCTTGGTCCCAGCTCAGCAAGAAAGCTAAGCAGAGAGAGACAGTAAACTCGAAGAAGGGGAATGAGATGGGAATCTGGAGGTGTCGGGGGCATAAGGGTGATGATTAATCAGTCCCTAAGAGCAGGGAGGAGAGAACTGGGAAGGGAAGGTAGCCTGTTTCTCCCTGGGCTGGGGTCTGCCCTGTAGGGGAACTGTCCAGCAGAGTGGGCCTGAAAAGTATGGAATGTGGACTAAGACAAGCTTAGCTGCACCAGTGTGGGCAGTGAGTTGGAGAGGATGATTCAACATGAAACTTTCCAGTGGAATGACCCAAGGAAACCTGAAGGAAACAAGAGGTCAGATGTACAAAGAATAGTTGAGGGCTGACAGAAGAGGTCAGATACTCTAGGGCAGGGATGGCGAACCTTTTAGAGCTTTCAGTGATACAGTCTGCTGTAGCATGCTTGCCATAGTTTCATCACCACTGCACAAGGGAAGCTCATGGAAGGGAAGGACACCTTGAATAAAGGATGAGTAGGAGGGGGTGGCTCTGGGAAAGAAGAGAAGAGAGGTTTCTGAGGCTGTGTGAGTTGAAGAGGACAGATATGGGATTCTTTCCTGAAATACACCTCCACCTTTCTCTTTCTAGGTAGCCGGGAGGCAGCATTCGTATATGCCATTTCATCAGCAGGGGTAGTCCATGCTATCACTCGTGCCTGTAGTCAGGGTGAACTGAGTGCGTGTAGCTGTGACCCCTATACTCGTGGTCGACACCATGACCAACGCGGAGACTTTGACTGGGGTGGCTGCAGTGACAACATCCACTATGGTGTCCGATTTGCCAAGGCTTTTGTGGATGCCAAGGAGAAGAGGCTTAAGGATGCCCGGGCCCTCATGAACTTACATAACAACCGCTGTGGCCGCACGGTCAGTACTCGTGTCTATGTATGCATATTCGTATTTTCTGGGAGTAACAATTTGTGTGACCATAGACTAAATGTGAAGATGGAAGAAATGAAGAGTTCTGGATCACTTTTGAAAGCCCCAACATCCTGTGACAGTAGCACTAAAAAGTAGGAAAAGAAAATAAGTCACTTTTTTTGTAGTGCTGGGGATCCAAGGCAGGGCTTCATGCTTACTAGGCAAGTGCTCTACCACTGAGTGAGTATATCTCTAGGCAGAAGTGACTTTTTAAAGATGAAAAGAACTGTCTCTTCACTGGTATCTGAACACTCCTATATACTGTGCTAGAAAATGACAGACTACAAAAACAGAGTGAGTGATACTGGGTACCCTAAAACAAACATGTGAGAACTAAAAGATATCCAAACACATTATATTCATAAACAGAATTCTGTGACTTTACAATCCCAACAGGCTGGCATGACAAAGAAAGCACTGTTGGTTCAGGAAGATTTCCTAGAGCAGGACTACTCTCTGCCCACCTCCATGTCTCTCTTTCTCTCTCTCTCTACTGTATTGGGGATTGATCCTAGGTCCTCACCAATATTAGGCAAGTGCTGTACCAGTGAGCTACACCCTAGCCTGCACCCACCTTGAGACACTATTTTGCTGACTTGCCAGGCTGGCTCTGAATTTGTGATCCTTCTGTCTGAGCCTCCAGAATAGCTGAAACTTATAGGCATGTGCAGAATGCCAGGCTTAGAAGAGAAGTTTCTTTTTTGTGTGTTTGTTTTTTTGAAACAGGGTCTTACTGTGTAGCTCCTGAGTATTGGGATTATAAGCATGTGGCACCACATCTGGCTAAGACAAATTTCTTTACTTGATCAGGAAGAATCGGTGGGATCTGGTGGAACCACTCAGGGTTCAACCAGCTGTCCATGGCCAGCAGATCACTCATGCTTTTGGCCTTTGGGATGACTAAGAAGTTTCCTAACCAGTGCCTGTTCCTTACCTGCCTCCTCCTTCTCCCAGGCTGTACGGCGATTTCTGAAGCTGGAGTGTAAGTGCCATGGTGTGAGTGGCTCCTGTACTCTACGTACATGCTGGCGTGCACTTTCAGACTTCCGCCGCACAGGAGATTACCTGCGGCGACGCTACGATGGGGCTGTGCAGGTGACAGCCACCCAAGATGGTGCCAACTTCACAGCAGCCCGCCAAGGCTATCGCCGTGCCACCCGTACCGATCTTGTCTACTTTGATAACTCCCCAGACTACTGTGTCTTGGACAAGGCTGCAGGTAAGTGAGAGAAACAGGTATAGAGCCCAGCTTCTTAGCACAGGCACCACTGCCAGATCATGGTCTGCTCAGCTGGAGGAGTTAGGGAAAGGGGTGCTGTGGGAGGAGTCATTTTCCTCCCCACATGAAAACTTGGGCATGAGATTGATGACTTATGCCTCAGTCTACCAGGCCCGGTGCTGTCCAACCGGAGAGGAGGTTACTCAGCTCCCTGAGGGCTGAAGTCACTCCTTTGTGTTTCCAGCACCTGAGGTACAGTAGGCAATACTTACAGGATATTTAAATGAACTACTTGGTTTGGGGTTTCAGCCAATGTTGAGGGCTGTACAAAAACATAAAATGCAGCACCAAGCCTTTTGTTCTTTACAATCTAGCTAAAAAAATTAGATTGGGGCTAGAGATGTATCTTAGTGATAGAGCATTTGCCTGCCATGTGCAAGGCAACAAATAAGCAAATGCATCTACAAAGAGAAATAAAGATAAGTGTATTTGGAAATGTATTATTTAAACTGATTCTTGAAGTTTGGGGATTATCTGGATAGTGATAGAGGAGACCAGGCAAATATTCTCCGTATATGAGCAAAGCGGTAGGTGGGAACACAGATGACCTGTTTCGGAGACAGAGTAGACCAATACAACTGAGTCAAGGTTTCTGACAAGGAAAGCTAGAAAAGTAGAGTAAAGCTAGAAAGATAGGTTGGACCAGACCATGAGGGATCTTGAAAGGCTGTATTCAGGAGTTGCCTCTCAAGATTCTGAAATGGAGTAAGGGGAGCAAGGAAAGAGGAGGTCCCTACAAAGGTAGGTAAAGCTGTAAGTGATGGGTAGTAAGCAGGAAAGACTTGTTTTTCAATCTGTTCTAGGTATTTGTGGTGGACTTCTTGGAAATTCTGGAAGGTGATCAAGTATTTCCCCAGGAAAGTGGAAGTTACCATCTGGCTCATGATTTCTGGTTCAGACAGGTTTAACTAGGAACAACATGCAGTGAAACAGAACTTCTCTTCTAGTTACTGTCTAGGATTTCCAGGCTCTTTTCTGCAGACTTGGTAGGATGGAGCCAAAAACTTGTTTTCAGCTGTCTTCCATTCTGTTTGTTTTCACTCATCAGTCATTCCTGGAGAGTCAAGTGGCTCAGAGCAAAACTTTACACAGAAACAGGGTGGACCTCCATCCAGATAATAAAGTATGTATACTCTGTAGGGTTAGAAGAAAAAAGGTTGGGAGAGCCACTCTGATCCCCCTAGTGATTTCCTGCCACTAAGTATGTTTTTCATGTAGTCTGTTTCAGAAGGTCAGTCCTGGATGCCTGGGAATAATTCCATAACATCTGAGGTATAAGCCTGTTTTGCTATACCTAAAATGAACCTTTGGGGAAGGATCTTTGGACTTAGGAGGGAGTGAGTCATATGTGTATTAGTTTTTCTCATAAACATAAAATTAGGTTTCATAAAACCCAAAATGGGGCCTGGAATCCAAAATACAAGTCAGTCCAAGGAGTGTGGAGCCAGGTGTTCCCTCTACAGCAATATTGTCCAATAAGACTTTCTGTAATAATAAAAATATTATCGTAGCTGTACTTGTAGTATAATAGCAACCAGTCATGTGATTTTTGAGTACTTGAAATAGGGTAGTTCCCCTTATCTATGGGGATATTTTCCAAGATCTATAATGGATACCTGAAGCTAAAGATAGTACTAAACCTTATACATACTGGTTTTTTTTTATATATTTGTACCTACCTATGCTAAGTTTATAAGGCAGTAAGAGATTAACAACTAATAATAAAATTAAACTTTTTGGGGGTGATTCTGGGGATCAAACACAGAGCCTTGAACATTTGGACAGGTGCTGTTATCACTGAGTTACATCTCCAGCCCCAAACTGAATAATTTTAATAATATAATACTTAAAATTTATGAATTATTTATTTCTGGAATTTTCTATTTAATATTTTCAAACCACAGTGATCATGGGTAATTGAAATCACAGAAAGTAAAACCACAGAAAAGGTGGGGGGGACTACTATATAGCTAGTGTAATTAAGAAACTAAATTTTTAAGTTAATTTTAATTAATTGAAATTTAAAAGACTCGATATAGCTCATGTCTACTATATATTGTAGAGCATAGTTCCAGAGTTTAAAAGTGGTTTTTGGTGCCAGAGAGAAGAACTTATGACTTGGCCCTTAAGACTTAGAATAACATATATGGTAGACCTAGTCAGCCCACATGCTAGAGCAGCAATCTGATCTCCTAACACCATGGATTGTATACTCGTATTGTTAAAAAATATTTGAGTAAGTGCCACAATTGCATGTATATTTACTTATAAAAATATGTTCCACTGTCCCAGTAGGTGTATTATAAAACATGCATATATTTATTTGCTGGGCATGGTGGCATACGCTTATAATCCCAGCACTTGAGAGACTGAGACAGGAGAATCACTGCAAGTTCCAGGCCAATCTGGGTGACATATTGAGACCCTGTATCCAAAAAAAAAGACTGGTGGCCCTGCTGTGTGTGTGTGTGTGTGTGTGTGTGTGTGTGTGTGTGTGTGTGTATGTGTGTGTTTTAACAGTGCTATGGGACCAGGGCCTTGCACATGACAAGCAAACACTGTACCACTGAGCTACACCCCCCAGCCCTAAAATAGATTATTTTGAACCAATGAGGCAAAATACAAATACAGAAGTTTTAACATTTTTACCCCCATCCCAGTAGAATATGGAGACTACTATGATTGAAATCAGTTAATCTGTTATCTTTCTGGAACTCTCAGGCTAGTCTTTTTCTCAACTCTGGGTCCTTATTAATATGGGGAAGTGTTGGAATGTGACCCATCAAAAATTCTATTTCTTTGTTATCTATTGATGGGAACTTTTTTTGCTGAAATCTGTCAGAATGAGATCCTAAATTTCTCTATGCTGGAGGAAAAAACAGTTCATACAAGAGTCCCTAGTATAAGGGAATCATGCAAGGGATATTCCTTAGCTATGCATCTAGCCAGTTATGTACCTCCTTAGTTAGACAGAGACTGTAGCTATAACAACCCACTAAATAAGATATTATTATATCCATGTTCATATGAGAAAACTAAGGCTCAGAAACATTAACTTGCTGAATCACACAGCTGAGAAGTGGCAGAACTGGGATATGAACCCATACAATTTGATGCCTGGGCCTATGTTTTTAATGGTCTGCTATACTATTTCCTATATAGTACAACTGAATAAAATATAAACTAAGGGCCAAAATAAAAAATGGTAGCAGGATCAGCTTATAGTGAGACTTCTCAGAAGAAGTTATAAGTTATAAATTCTCAGAAGAAGTTATAAATTATGTTTTTGCTGTTGTCATTGTTTTACTTTTTGTTATAGAAAACTTCAAATATAGAGAATTCTTACTCAGCTTTAACAGTTAAACATTTTTTACTTTTCTTGAAGGGGGTAGTAGTAGTGGTTTGAACCCAGGGCCTTTACACTAAGATATATTCCCAGCCCTTTTTATTTATTCCCCTCCCTTTAATTTTATGGTAGGAGGGCTGGGGATTTAGTTTAGTGGTTCCACCACTAAGGACCCAAGTTCGATCCCTGGCACATTAAAAAAAAAAAAAAAAAAAAAAAAAAAAAA